AATTTAAAAAATCCTGCTTCTACGCAGGTAATTTCTCAGCATTTAAACTGAGCCTGTATCTTCTAATTAAGTCACAATTTTCTTTCACTGAATTTAAAAACAACTTAGAATTTTTGGATAAAACTGTTAAATGTTGCGCATACGCAATTTAGCGAAATCCTGTTTAAAAGTAAATTTCGAGGTATTCTGAAACTAAAGCAATTTACAAAGTTAACGATGCTATCATATATAAATACCGCCACAACAGGAAGGGGATGAAAAAAATGAAATTCTATTTCATAATTTCTTGCCAACATGCGGATTAAATTAGAATCAATACAGAGTCAAGCATTTATACTGTATTGGCTGTTATTATTAAAGCGTTATACGTTATATTTTTTATTTAAACCCATATGGAAATGAGCAAGAATTATCTGCGTTTATCCAATATAAAAGAATGTTACATAGTACTCATCTCACTAGTTACATTTGTAATACTTCTGAACTAAACGAAAATTAAACTGACTTCTGTCTATAACAAATAAACAAATAATAAGAATTTTGAACCCAAAGGAGCAATTTGCTCAGAAGAGCTATTAATTTCATTTTGGCATTTTAGCATTGTTTCACTATAAATGGCGTTCCACTTTTCAAATTGTCGCCACCAAATATTGTCGCCCTGCATTATATTTAAAGAAATTAAATAATGAAGAATCTGCATAAATGTATGTATGTTTTTCGCACCGGGAAAAAACAACGGTACTTAGAGACATAAAATTTTGAATAATGTAGTCCTCCACTCGAATATGGCATCTGGAAGCTGGATTTCGGAATTTGTTTTATTATCTATTTCATGTATTGTAAAACTTTAACGAATTTTTTATTAAACAAATTCAACAATATGAAAGCGAGCCGTGGCAACACTGTACGGAATAAAACATTTTTATCTCCAGTACGCGAGACTGTGTATCGGAAACTCTAAAGATATGCTCTTTTTAAATTATTTTGTGATATTGCTGTTGAATTGAATTTCATGGTTTAAGTGCTAAGAACATGACATTTAATAAATAAAGGTAACACACAAAACTTTAAAAAATGCCCCTTTGAGCGTTTCTGGGCGTAAAGCTCTCAAAGCTTCCAGATTTTTTCCTTATATTTCATTCTTTTCAATTTGTGAAAAGTCTGCTGGTAATAAAACAATTTGTACCGAGTCAATAAAGTCACTGATTCAATTTTCCATCAGTTACAATTTAAAATAAGTTCTTTGCTCTAAAGAATTGTGAGTTATTTAGGAATTCTAAATACTTTCGGAGAAAATACAAAAACATGGATTAAAAAAAAAATAAAATCTGAAATTTATATGAAGCCTAAATAAATAATCTGGTGAATCATTGCTGCTCAGATTAGAGACTCGTGAATTATTAATTCCTAATACCCTAATCGGAAAGATGACTGACATTGCAAATATGTGCTCGACTCGGCTCTCATAATTTAATCATCGAGCTCGCGCTGCTAATCTTTTGCGCTCGAAAGCTCGTAAATCACTGGAAGAATTAGTCTCAATTACTCAAAACGCGAATTTTATTTCACCCAGGAGGTGGGGTGAACTTATCGGTCTCCATTCAAATACTTGAAATTCCGCGAAATATGCAAGTTTTTCACCCGGTTTCGCTTGTATCGATTCATATGAGTTATTTTTTAGAAGACTAGATTGTGCATATAACGGTTTGGACTTATCAACCAATTTTCTGTCATTTATGTTACAGAATTTACTACTTTTAAAAAACAATAGAAAAGATACTAATTTTAGTGTTAACTTACCTGTTAGTAAAATAATGATAGAAGAAATTTTAACTAGCATCAATCAACACTTATGTTTTACTTAATATTAATTAATTAATTAATTTACCACTTATGTATTAATTAATATTAATGAGGAGAATCAGTTGTTTAAAAGGTAATTTAAGTTAAAAATTTTAGTTCAGGTTTTCTCTACATTTCATTTTGAATCAGAAATTTGGAAAACGTAAACTTGTTTTCAAGACTTACATTTTTATGAAAAAAATTAAGATATTTTTATGACGAACCCTGTGGGGCCTTTAGATCGTTTAAAACATAAATTTAGAAATTAAAATACCTACATTCTCTAACTGAAAGTTAGTTGAAAGTGTATACGCTTTCTCATGAAGATAGTTAACATTAGAATAAGAATTAGAAAAAAGTGGTTCCAGGTATTCACAAATAAATACGCCAATTTATCAATATAATTTTAAAATTTAATCTACTCTGAAAATGCCGTTTTCTTTAATAACAACAACATTAACGAAACATATTAATATTTATTATTTTCTAACACCAGTCTGTTTCTAGAGGTTATTGAAATAATTAAAACTAATAAACCTCTAACTTTACAGCCATATTACCATGTTATTTGAAATGCCGAGCATAACATTTAAGTCTTTTACTATGAGTATATTTTATCACATTAAAATTGTTCAATCATAACGCATGCATATTTGAAACCTTGTGATTGCTTCATATACTAATGGAAATAATTTCAAATACATTCAAATGTACTACACATTCAGATGATACATTCCCTTAGAGGAGAGTTAGTAAAATTTTTCGAAAATTATTTAAATGCTTATCATTGAAAAATACCTTCCGGAGTAAGAATACATTTCAATAATTGATCCTTTATAAATATTTATTTGCTTTTCCTTGCAAATGTCGTAATTTAAACAGCGGTTTAGAGCAATCAAATTAAATTCAGTAAGTTACACGAACCATGTTAAGCATAGGAGACATTTAAAATACACTAGGAAATATCCACACTGGTTGCGACGTTTGTTTTAATGAAATGAAATGAAATAAATTGCTATATTTCTCTCTCAGTTGTCAAGGAAAGATTAATTTTACATAAGATGTGAAGCAAAATTAAAAAATTTGGGTGGGAATACATATTTTACTTTTTTTTCTTCTTCACAGAGTATTTGGCTTTACAAAAAAGAGTTTGCATTTTCCATGCAAATGAAAAATAAAATTTTATTGTTATAAAATTTAGCAGAAAGTGCCTTTTCATTTGAAAAGCATTTCATACTAGACATCAACTTAAAAGCAACTAGCAACAATCTCTTTTACATCTTTCCACTACCTAGTTTGAAATAAAAGTTGTTAAATTTTACTAGCAAAAATATTAATCCATTTTATGCAAATATACTTAGAATGCATCTATATGTTGCATATATATGTTTATGATATAAATTTAGTAGTTCGTAGAAAATCTGCTCCTCAACAGTTTTGTCCCAATAATTATTTTGAACATTTTAGACGCCAATGCAAATAAACTGAATACAATTTAACAAAATATCTGATTCTAATTTAAACTCTTAAATTATAATTAATTTTAAAAATTACTGACGTAAAGAAATTTTACTATAAATCTGTTTCTTGGACATATTTTCGCAAAATATTTCTTAGTTACCATTGCTAGAGTAAAATGAAACTGTCGACAACTTTCTGGACTGACATAGTATCATTTTGCATGAGTTACTGATAGATTTGCGTGATATATGGTGTAATTATTAATGCGGTTCAAGGAAGTTTTATACTCACAAGTGACAGAAAATGCTTTGTACTTGTAAGTGTAATAATAATTTCCTTCTTTCCATTCTTTCCTTTTTATATTTTGCTTGCTGTATGTGTTGTATTTATATTTGGCTCGAGATTTTCCAAAACAAAATTAAGACATTGAATAGCATCACCTGTTGATAAGCAAGAATCGAATTGCAAAGAAGTAAGGCGGTACAACAAAAAGCTTAATTTTACCTTTATATGTACTTAATAAATGCTTAATTATAGCTTAATTATTACCTCATCTAACTGGTTATTTACTACAGTCAGTTTTCATGTCAGCTTGAAAATTTTGGAATTCGAAGTGTGGCAACCCAAACCGCTCATTACAGCAAGAACAGCACATTTACCTACTATAAAATTTTGCATGAAAGTAACAGAAACTGAGATGAATTTTTTTTCAATCATAAAAAAATTAACTTTAGAAGAACAAAAAACAAAGTATGCAAAATTAATTTATATATTTAAAGAAGTGTATAAATCATGTTTAACTAATTTCTTTACTATAAATCATGTTTAACTAATCACAAGGTTTTCATGTTTAACTAATTTGTTTTAAAGCAAAGACATAATTAGTTAAACATGAAAGAGTGTACTTCCTTAACCTTTGTTAAAAATAACATACTTAATAAAGGAGGTGATACATTTCAAATGTAGTATATTTTATTGTATTTCCTGAACTAAATAAAATCTAAATCGTTGTTCCAGTGCAAAGCTAAATATTTTAAATTAAGATTAAGTATTTCAAATTATTAAATAAATAGTTTTCGGTGCCATAATTTCCAGTTCAATATACTTCGAATATATTCTCCCTTCCTTGGTTTTACCCATATTACTTTCATCAACAAGCATTACAGATAATTTAGCTAAGATTCCTCTTTGGTTCAGCTTTTATTAATTTTAAGACAGATGCTGTCTATCCTGTAAATATAAGTTGGTATTCATGGCGTGCAATGCCTCTAGAAAACTCTTTACTCCAACTAAGATGAAATTTAAAAGTTTCGAAACGGGAATGAGCTACTCCATGCTGCAATATAGCATATTTTGTAATAGATTATTGGTCACTGCCCAACCAACAGTCAGAACAAGCTGTATAATAGAGCTTCAGCCAGGGACCCTTAAAATGCAAGAAGAATGGGGTTTGGAACTTAAACCTGCCTTTAGACAAAAACACCTAAGGGCCCTGCATAGCTAACCAAGTAAATTCCTTGTATTATATTAAATTATAAAGGTATATAAAGAGATAAAAAGGATTTCCGGGCTGCATTGCACAGTGACACACTTTTGTGTGTCACTGTGCAATTTATCACTGTGCATTTTTGTGTGTCACTGTGCAAGGAGATTTATCTAGAGCTCCAAGTGAAAATTATTAAACTTTTGGTACTTACTTGAAGAAGTCGTTTCGACAGTAGAGCTTTCCTTCTCTGGAGAAGCACTTTTCCGTGAGGTTGCACTTGCAGTCGCAGCACTGGACACATTTCGCGTGCCACGACCTGTCCAGGACATTGAGCAGGAATCTGTCTAGGATGGGTCTGTCGCAGCCCGCGCATTGCACCATCTTCATGTCGTCGTTCCTAAGCAAGGGCAGGGATCTCCCCCCTCGCTGCCTCCAGCCAGCGAGCGTGTCCACTTTGGACGACCTCAGCCCACTCGGCTCATACGACAGACCCAGGGCTGACAACTCGCTGACCAGCGACACTTTGGAATCCACCTCGCGACCAAAGACCGCGATAAACGACACTTCGGAGCTATACGCGCGAACTTCAAGTTAATAGTGACTTGTCCACAGCAATAGATATTGCTGTCAGTTGAATTTGTCACCCAGAGTGTTCACGCAGTCAGAATTTTCTAAGTAATTTGCTTCAACACAAACGTCAAGGAAAAATTTCTCTATTCCTCGATAAACTGCATTCGAAGCTTTAACAAGTTCAATCTGTGTCATATCTTTTAGTCATCAATAGTTTTCTGGTTAAGTTTCAAAAACTACCATCGGCTACTTGAAGAACAAAATTAGTGGTTCAGCCAAGAGTTGTCATTCATATTTCTTCTTAGCGTGCGACGATTATTTCTTCAGTAAAAATGCACATTATTAATAGCAAGGGAACTTGGCACACACCTTTTTACTATACGCAAAATAAATATCTGACTTTTTTTCCCCTTCGTTTGATTCAAATATTTGTCTTCTTATTAAATTTCTTATTGTCTTATTTTTTCATTCATAAAGAATAAAATTTTCATACTTAAAAAAAAAAAAAGACTTTTGCTCCACTTTTACGTTGAACTGTTTTGATATGAGATCCCAATCTACTTGATTCCAAACGCAACAGATATGAGGTGCTTCAAAGCCAAAACTGACCGAGTCTTAGATGGTAGGTAAACAACGTCAGTCGACCTCTCGTGGCCAGTTCCACGGCGAAAATGGGACGGTGGCTTGCCCGCGTGCGTTCGATCTAACCGTCTGTCCGAGACTCGCTTTTTCGTCTGCGGCCTCTGCAAGCGCAGCGTGTTTTACCGCCCCTTCCCCCACTGCTCGCTTCTTTGGCATCTCGGGTAGTGGGCGGGGCCAGAGGCCGTCACTCAACGTCGCAGTTGCCGTGGAGACGAGATTTGGGACGGTCCTTTCTTCCATCACGTGGTTTTAGAACCCAAAGTCAAAAATGTGAAGTGTGAGCAACAGACAACCATTTGTCCCAACTTACAGGTTTTTGAAGCGATGTAGAATGATTATTTTTGTTCTTACATTTCTTTTGTTCTATGTATTTTGAAATTTCAAATATGGGGGCACAAATCCTAAATTTGAAAGCGCAATTCTTAACTTATAGGATTAAATTTTTTTTTTTTTATTTGGTTTAATGCAAGTAAGAAAAAAGTAAATGCAAATAATGATAAATTTCTTTTTCTGTTGAGAATTAGTGTAATAAAAAAGTGCACCAATGTATATTAAAGGATTCAAATTTCCCGGAATTCATCCGGATGAAAAAATAAAGGAACTGTATCCTAGCAAAGGGCAGTTTAAGGTGTCCTTTAAAATTCCTGATATTCTTTTTCGATTAAAATTAATTAATTATTGTGAAATCAATTGAAAATGAGAAAAATATCATACATTTTTAAAAATAGTACCATTCTTTTTGGAAAAAATTCAGGGTAAAATTTCATCACCGCTGAATACGTTTATTCAATATAAACGGATGAATATTAATGCTTAAAATTATCTTATTTCTTATCAACTGGTAAATTTAAATCGATACGTTTAAGCTACATTTTTTCCTTTTAAAATTTGTTACATTTAAAGTAAAAACTGGAAGATTTTTGAAAATTGTCTTACATTAAATATTTATTAAATTAAAAAATTGTGAAACGTAATCAAGGTATTAATTATTATGTTAGCTTACTAGATTTAAATCATACATTAAGTTTTTCTCCAGCTTAACCGTTACTTAGCAGATTTAGACTTCTTACCGTATCGTGTTATTTCACTTTATTTTATAAAAAAAATGTTTTTTTTAGCAATAAATACACAATACTAATTATTTTTAGCGCGTATTAAAAAAAGTAATCCATAAATACTTATGTACCGCAAATTAGTATTCGTGCGATTTAGGTAATCAATCAATCAAAAGTTGGACTTAACATCATTTTTTATCTTACTGGGGCAGAGGGAAACAAATATCGACTTCTTGCTAGTTATCCTTACTAATATTATAAATGCGAATGTGAGTTTGTTTCTGTGTATGTAGGTTTGTTACCTTTCACGACTTAATTACTTAACCGATCGTCATGAAATTTTCAAGAAATATTTTTGATATATTAGAATAGGTTATAGGCTTTAAAATGTCTTCGTACGACTTTAATTAGACGAGATATTAATTAAAAACTACCTTTTCCCTACATTTTCACTTACTTTTTTGGGTTTTTCCCTATTAAAGGGATTTGGCTACACGCCAATTTATATTTTCACAAATATCTATGGAACGGCCGTTAATTGAATTTCGAGAAACATATCCCTGGTTCCAAAAATTCGTCGGAATCCATCGATACCATTCTTATCTTCGTACGACTTTAATCAGCTGAGATATTAATTAAAAACTCTGAAAACGCTAAATTTGAATGCGACTCAATAACGACATTAGGGAATTTTTTTCTCTAGGCCTTCTTGCCAGTATGGGTCCAATAAATTGGTGATCAAAATTATAATTTTGATCTAATCATCCAAATTTCTAGAAATTTAGAAACTCATGTCGCTCTCTGAATGATAGGAACAATAGTGGTGTAACTGTTTTTGTCGCTTAATTATTTCCAGCTTAATCACAAATGAAACAATACTCCGCTTGCTATTGTTAACTCTTTGTTGACAGGCTGGGATTCGAACGCCACGAAGGGGGGCTTGGTATCCAGTCGACCGTTGGGTTGGCGAAAAGGTCAAAGTTCACGGAATTACACGTGGAAAATCATTTTAAAATTAGTAACTTCTAATTAACTTACCGACTTGAAACTACGAGTATTATGAACATTTCGACTTTTGTGATATATTTAATGTTTTGCTTCGTATTTTTTTAAAGATCTATTTATTCGTGTTATATATTTCTGTTAATTTTACTTGAAAAATTGCATTTATATTTTATATTCTTTACATTTTACTGTGTGCGATAAAAAAAATTTGTTTTATCATTTTAAAGCGCTTAAATGTTCTTTATTTTGAAATTTTATGTGGAGTGTATTTTTAAAATTCACGCGGAGTTGAAACTTATTTAAGGACATCAACGCGAGCGAAGCTGCGGGTAAAGCTAGTAATAATATAAAAAGGAATAAAATAACGCTAAATATCCAAGAATTGAAGATGATAAGATTTAATTTTTTTTACATTTTCGTTTTGTTATTAAAAAAAAATTGGAAGGTTTCAGATTTTAACGATCGCACAAAAGAGTTTGTTGAAGTTGTAAGATTTGTCTTAAGTTTTTAACAGTTAGCTTTAGTTAAAGCTACTTTCCTATCCGTCCAAATTTCAGCTTACAATTTCCTACCAGAATGTGTTTTTAGAATAGCAGTTAATGCAAATGAGTAAGAGCGTTATTTAAGTCCACTGGCTTCGTTAGGGAACCAGAGATTCTGACTAGCGCACATTTGTCATTTGGCTACACTCTCTGTAAGCCAGCGGTTCTCAACCTTTTGACTAACCCGTATCATCTAAATAAAAATTGAAAACCTTTAGTACCACCACTACAAAGTACTACTACCACTACCACCCTTAAACAAAGCTCAGATCGCATAAATTTACTAGTGTTACAGAAAAAACTCAATCAGAATGTTGGGGTTTTAATTTTTGAATTTAATAGTTAAAAATGCTTTGCTTCTTTGGGTGACCATCTATTTTTCCACCGGTTGAGAACCCCTTCTCTAAGCTATTACTATGCTTGGCAGTATTTCAGGCCCTTGATAGCTTCGCCTGTTTAGTTGATAGTTAGAGGCCAACTCCTGTAGAATTTTGATAACTTCGGTTATATCTGTTTAGTTAAGTTTTATTTCTTAGTACTCTTAAGTTCAAGCCCAAGTGGAGACTACTCTGTACGCTCTGAGAAAGGAGCCGACTGTTTAAATTCTTATTTTGAGAAATAAGGGGTAATTAACACTTCTTGAGTTTACGTCTCTGTTCCTGAACTAAAGTGATAATTTGCTATTGCCTATTACTGTCTATTGCTTTCAAATCGTTTAGTGTATTACTCAGTAACCTTCCAGATTAAATATGAAAGTATCTTTGGCTTTAACACTCTGGCGCATGGAAGGTGAAAGTGTTTTATTTCCTGCCACGGCAACACATTGCTTTCACAGGGCCAGGTTTGTTAATTAAAACTGAAAGATAAATATCTTACATTTTTCGAATAGTAGCAGTGTTGCGTGCTTTTTGCCACTGTTCAGTTTGAAATCATTTCAAAAGCAATAGCAAAATCAAACCCCACATGGTTATCCACTTACATAAAAATGCAAAAGCCCTAGTGCAAAGATCTCCAAAATATTAACCCTATTATATTTATGTTATCCAGTACCCAACAGTTTGTGTTATATTAAGTAACTTTGCCTAATTTTATGTTAATATCCTCTTATATTTAAATGTAACAACTCCGATGTATAACTCCAGTATTACTTAGAAACAGCATACAGTCATACTCTAGCTGGTTATTGCATTGGGGCAATACCTGTTCGATTTTGTAGTGAATTTTCTAGTACCCCTTGCACTTTTAACCTGTTTACCTGTTTGAAATCATTGAGTTTGTTAATCAAAAGTTTATTAAAATTTTATAAAGTATAAAATAAAAAATTCTGATATGGATACCATATGGCATCCTTGTATGGTCTATTAATTTTTACACATTTTTTGCTGCATTTCATTTAAACCTATGTCCTCGAATTTCATTAGAGATATATTGTTGCGTTTTTTTCTTCCTTTACGTTCGTACGTACGGGATTCGTGCAGATTTGGAGTCAATAACGACGACAACACTTAATGGAATATCGAAACACACTTTATTGGCCAGTATTCTCAGGACAGCTACAAAACGCGTTTTTACTGTAGTCGAAGAACGCACGATGTAACAAGCAGCGGCACTGTCTTCAGGCAATCAGGCTATAACGGTGAAGACAGCTTCACTGCAAAGCACCAGAGTACAGCTCCCGACTCTGCATGGTTGTTCCCGTAACCTCACGTACTCACAAGACTCCTCACGCTACAACTCGCATACACTAGAGTACAGCTCCCGACTCCTCGGTTCCGTCGTTTCAGGAGTTCAACACACTCTCTCAACGATGCACTAAGAGACTCTTTCGGTGCACTCGACGACCAGCTCGGCACTCACTAACTGACTATCAGCTCGATGGATTCTACATAGACTAAATGACTCTCCGCGTATCAGCAGGGTTTACATGGCTTTTGGCTTGTGTTCGAGAACATTCTGGGCTAAACCGGTAAGAATTCGTTCCAGAAAGTTCTCCATCCGTCTATGGCATATCGCCAGTTTCGTCGCCAAATGAGCGATTCCTCGCCAGATGTTACAACCCTGCTTTCCCTTGCCATTTTATGGCAACCCTAAAACCTGCTTTGCGGGGAAGCTATCTTACCGCACCTGGACACTTGGAACAATATTTCTCATTCAGTTTTCACTTCAGGGCAAAGCACAAATACACAAAAAATCAAAACATCCTCATTAAAAATCATAAAACACAGAAAAATGTCAAACACCAAATACAGTTAAACCAGTTAAAAACAACTTTTACAATTAAAATTAGAGTTTCTATTCAAAGTCTATTTTTGGCTCCACTTGGCAAAGAGACATTGAAGGTGCAGAAACTGATTTAATTCACTATTCTACTGAGTTTCAAATGTTAAGAAATGACGGTTCCTTAGGGTTAACGCTTAAAGTTTTTAACTGTTGATAATTCTACAACAACTGCATGCAGATTAACTAAAAGCATAAAAAACTTAATCGGAACATAAAAACTATAT